AGTTCATCTAGGACTCCATCCCTATCCTGATAGATGTTGTGTTTTGTGTGTGTGTGTTTTGTGACTGTTGTTTTTTCATATAGCAGATTTACTCTTTGTGATATAGGTAGGGCTCAAGGAGTTTTGACAAATGAATAAGGGCAATATATTCATCAGCATATTTCTTACAAAGCAACACCATCACTTCAAAAATTGCCTCCTGCCCTACTAGACAACTGTTCATCTGTTTTTCTGCCCTTATATCTGTTTCACAATATTGTCTGAACTGAATTATATATCACATAGCATTTTAGATTTGGCTTCTTTCACTTTGCAAACTGCATTGAAGATTCATTGTGATGGTGTGAATCAATATTCTATTTGTCCCTTTTGTAATTGCTGATTAATATTCCATTATATAGATATAGTAGAGTTTGTGTCCATTTACCCATTAAAGGACATGTGTCTAGACTTAAAATTTTTTCATAAGGAGACAATAAAGCTGCTATAAACATTTGAGTTCAGTTTTGACATGGACCTATATTTTTATTTTTCTCAAAAGGAGACTGCTAGATTGCACAGGAAGTACACACACACACACACACACACACACACACACACACACATATATATATATATATGCATTTTTATAATTTCCAAATTGCCTTCCAAAGTGACTGTGCCATTCATTTTTACTAAGAATATATGAGATACTGTATCCCACCACCACTTGGTATTAGGACATTCTTTCCTTCCTCCCTTATGTCCTCTTTCTTTTCTCTTTTTATACTATAGTCACTTAGAGGTTTATAGTGGAACCTCACAGAAGGTCTAATTTGCATTTCCCCAATGACTAATGATATTAAGTATCTTTTCATATGTTTATTTTCAATCCTTTTATCTTTATTTGCCTATATTTTGTTGGATTTTCCCTCTGGTGTTTAAATTGGAGGTTTTTAAAATATCTTAGTCAAAAGTCTGACTTAAATGTGATTTATAAATATTCTCTCCTAATTTGTTTCTTGTCTTTCACCTTCTTTAACAGAATCTTCTGGAGAGTTAAAAAGTTTTCTTTTTACTTAAATCAAATTTATTAAATTTTCTCTTTAATACTTCTTCCTTTACTATTTGCTTAAAACTCTGCCTAATGTTCAGTTTATTATTTTGTCACTAGCACACAGTCTTAGACACTTCAATCTACACTAAGTATAAGACTTAGGCTTAAAGTAAATACTATGTGGAAATACTGTGTAAACTCCAAACTTGCCCTTTTAAACATTTTGGTCAGCCATTGTAACTCCTTTGACTTTCCATACAAACCTTAAATCAGTGTGTAGATATCTACCAAAAAAGCTTGCAGATATTTTTATTGGAATTGCATAAATCTATGGACAAAATTAGGAATGTCATGTAGGTAATATTTAATTTATAAATACGCTGAAATAAATTATTTGATTTTTGAGTGCTATATGCTATTTGTTTTGAGATATGCCCTATTTGGTTAAATATTATTTCTAAAGAGATTTTCTTAAATATTGACTTGCATCCACTAATATTTTATTGAGGATTTTTCTCTCTGTGGTCTTAAGTCTCCTTGTTATATAATTTTGTTTGTTGTAATGCATTTGTCTAATTTTAGTTTAAGGAAAATTTTGGCCTAATCAAGTGATTTGGGATATATTCTCACATTTTCTATTTCCTAGGAGAGGTTTTATTGAATCAGTATTATACCACTCTTTAAAGATTGGTAAATTCTCCTACTGAGAAAACATTGGTGCATACAATTCAAACATTTAACCATGATTCAATCTCTTAAATTAATATGTTATCTCTTCTTGTTTCTTTTATTGTGTTTGGTTGGTTGTGTCTTTTAGAGAATTGATCCAATTAATGCAATTAATTTGTTATTGCATTTATCAGCATAGAGTCCCTCATAGTATAAGTTTATTATCCTTTTAGCAGTTGCACTGTTGGTTATTATGTATGCTAAATCATGATGGTTTTGGTAATTGTATCTTCCTATACTTTTCTTGATTGCTGCGCCTAGAAATCTACCACTCTTACTGATATTTTTTAACTACCAGCATCCGTCTTCTTGCTTTTCTTTTCTGTTTTGTTCTTTTCAATCTCACTAATGTTGACTCCAATATTATTATATCCTCACTTCCTACTTTATCTTTTTCTTAATTTCTAGGGTTGAGGTAAAAAGTAATTTTAAACCTTCTTTTCTGTTCCACTGTAAGTGTGTGTGCATGTGTGTGTGTGCGTGTGTGTGTGTGTGTTTTACTGGATATTAAGCCCAGTGTTTAGTCCTGTTGCTTAATTTTGTTTTGTTTTGGAGGATTTTGGAGGATAGGATCTTACTAAGTTGCTAAATTGTCTAGTTGGGACTTGAACTTTCAATCCTCCTGCTTTAGTCTCACAAAGTGGTTCTGTAAGTATCACTTTTCTAAAATTTTTGATATACTGTATTTTATTTTCACTTAGTTCAAAATATATTTAATATCCCTTGTGATCTCTTCTTTCATCTATGAGTTACTTAGAAGTATACTGTGTAAATTTCAAATATTTGGGCATCGATAGGACACATTTTTTTATTTAATTCCTTTGGTTCTAATAAAATGTTTTTTCTTAAATTTCTCAAGGCATATTTCATGGCCCACAATGACGTATATTGTTTAATTGACTTGAACACATTACAAGAATATATTTTCTGCTGTTTTGTGGAGACATTCTATAAATATCACTTAGGCCAAATTAGTAATAGTTTGGTTTAGATTTTCTATATCCTCATTAATTTTCTGTCTACTTCTTTGTCAATTACTAATAAGGCAGTATTGAAGTCTAGAACCACAACTGTAGATTTCTCTCTTCCTCCTTCCATTGCTATCATTTTCATCTTTATTTTGAAGTGTTATGCTAATGGCATATACAATTTGGATTGCTTACCTCAATTCAGAATTCCAACTATTTTATTTTTTAATGTTCCTCTTTATTCTTAATATTATTCTATTTCCTGAAATCTACTTTTTCTCAGTATCAAAGTAGTAGCTAATTCAGCATTTATTCAACTAATATTTTAGAGAACAATTTTTTCTCATTCTTTTACTATTAATTTATCCATGTCTTATATTTAAAGCAGTTTCTTATAGACAGCATACAGTTGGGTTTTACCTTGTTATATAACTTGCCATTTTGTCTTTTAACTGGGATAGAGAGATCACATTTAGTATGATGTCTGATATTGTTGAGTGCATACCTGTCATCCTTTTTTATAGTTATCAGCATCCTCTGTTTTTTCTCCCCCTTTCTTCTTCCTTCTTTTTAGTAGTCAATAACTATTTAGGATTTATTTTATTTCTCCACTACTTAAACATTTTTCATTTTTACTGTTGTCCTGGGGTTTATATGTCTTTAGTGAGAGCCTGCTTTCAAATAATATCACATTGCTTGAAACTTGAAACAGTAAATTCCCAATTCCTCTCTCTCTCATTCTTTTTGCTGTTTTGCTTCTTCATAAGTATACAATATATTTAAATTAAGCATATTACACATGGCTATTAGCTTTGTTTAAGCAGTCAGTTATCTTTTAAAACTGCCATAAGAAAATATGAATGCCTTATATATTGTTATATATATCTTAATTGATTCTATTTCCATTGCTCTTCATTTCTTTTTGCAGATCCAAATTTATGCTAGCATTGACCTTCCTTTGCCTAAATAATTTTCTTTACATTTTTAAAGCAGGTCTACTCTAAAGAATATCCTTATAAAAGTTTTTTTTTATTTTTACAGTATACTTTTTTGGGATATGATCATCAAAAATGTTAACTTTTTCAGCCCTTTAAAGATGTCACTCTCTTTTCTTCTTAATTGCATGGTTTCTGGCAAGAAGTTTCCTATAATTATCATCTTTATCCCTCTGCATTAAATATAACTTTTTTTCTGTGATTCTAAGATTTTTTGTCTTTGTGTTCAACTTTTTCAGTATGATGGATCTACCTATTGTCTATGTGTGTCCTCAGCTATTTACCAATGTTCAGTTTTTCTTTTTTCTGTCCCTTCCACTGGGACCCTTGGGTGCTACAAGTGCCCTAGGAGCAACAATGTTTATTGCCATTTACTCAACATAAGGATTCCGTTTGCCTGGGAAATACGTACCAGTTATCTGGGAAGTTGTATTTGTTTCATTCCAGGCTTGCTCTTCTCCTCCCCAAGGTCCCTATTTTATGGATTATTTTTTAAAAGTATTCCTTAAGCTGCGCTGTGAGAATTCAGTGGAATTTGTAGAGGAAAAAAACCGAGGGAGGTAAGGACTCCCTGAAATTACACACACCCAGAGATCTCCCACTCATTCACCTGGGCACACTTGGTCTCCACCAAGTTGCCGTCGCCCTTCTTCTCAGGGCCTGGTTGTATCCATCAAGTGCAACTACTATTTGTTTCTTCTCCCGTCCTCCTTCTATGCATCTACTGCCAAGTATTTGAGCCAGTTGCTTTTCCTGTAAAATTCAAATCTCAGATGGAATCAAGACCCATAAGAATTTGTGATTTGTCCCACTTTCTTTTATACAAGAGTGGGAATGGAACTTTCTAGCTCTAAACTTCTACAAGGAGAAACTAGCATCTTGTATACATTCATCAAGGATATAAAATTAAAGCCTACTTCTTTGAATCCTACAAAGCTACATAATTTACATTTAAAGAGTATGTGGGAAATAAACAATAGTAGACCAGAAATTGTAAATTCAAAAAAGGATAACCTGAGCTACCTCACTTCTCAGATCACTCTTAATAGCTTCTTATGATATTTATTTTAAATTTTGAAATAGCATAAAGACTAGTGTGTAATTTTTGAGGTAAGTGCAAATTTTTATTCATATATATTTAAGTGAAATTTAGTAATAGTTTAAAAATTGAAATGCATTGCTACTAAATGAAATTACACTGCTAATTATTTTAAAATAAAGAACAAAGCAAGAAAATTGTTTTTAAATGTCTTTCTATGATTTCTTTTTTTAAAAAATATGGATCACTTCAAGAATTTGCGTGTCATCCTTGTGCAGGGGTCGCGCTAATCTTCTCTGTATCGCTCCAATTTTAGTATACGTGCTGCTGAAGTGAGCACTCTATGATTTCTACTGAAAACAATTTTATCATAACAAGAAGAATGGCTGTCCAACAATTATCCTCTCTGGGTGTCAAATGAGAGAGGTGCATCACCGCTAAAGCCTCAAGTTAACACTATGCTCGATGTTTTAATCCAAACACTTAGTCGGCCCTGTCCACTAAAACCAACCTATTTGCTTTTGTTCAATTGTGTGAATGGATCACCGAGACCTGCACTGTGTCCCACTTTGAAGTCATTTCAAACAAGTTTACTTATTAACAGGCTTACTCAATTTTCTCCTGGACTTTTTGAAGCACTATCAATTTCTCAGCCTTCTTTAGTAACAACAAGTATAAGAACGAGCTACACTAGATCCAGAATTCTAAGAAAAGACCATGAAATGATCTGTTATCTAATGTCACAATTATTTCAGTTTGTGGCAGACACTGGGCCATTTTCAAGATGGGCACCAGGCTTTGGCAGGCCTCTTAAGCTAACAAGAGATGCTGTCAGACACATAATTCTACTTTTAATTTCTGAGAACCTTTCCATGGGAACATGGAAGAATTCCAGGTAGAAGGATCTATTTCGTAAAATTAAAAGACCTAGGAATTAGTCCTGCCTACACATTAATAAGCCCTATGATCTCGATCAGGCAAATGGAAGAGACAAAAAGGAAATTAATAATCATGTGCTTATGGCATTATAAGTAACTTATGAAGGTTTTTCTATTTCATTGTCACAGTGAGTCAGTAGGATAGCTTTTATTTCTGTTTTGCAAATGACAGGACTAAAGACTCCAGTTTACGTATCTTGCTCAAGGTTACACAGCTCAGAAGCTCAAAAGCTGTTTTTTCCCAGGGCAGCCAACAGCACCTATTTAGTTCCAAAGGCAATGGACTTAGGAGAACCCCTTGTTCTTTGAAAGGTGGTGAAGGAAGAGCTACGGATAAGTGGCTTGACAGAATTGGTTTTGTTTTCAGTTTTCTTTTAGAACTCATATGCCTAGAAATGCATTATTCATAATCCTTGCAGAAAGAACTCAAATAGTTAAACGATCTGAATTACCATTTAAAACTAGATCATGCTAAAACTGGTAAATAATCGAATGCAGGAATCTAGTGACCTTTACACTTTACTATGCTCATCTGCAAAATTAAGAAATTGGACTCAATAAACCCAAGAGCCCAATCATCTGGAAAATCTTGTACTATAAAAAAAACCTAATTTCTTATGCTCATAACAAACCAGAGTAGTCTCAACAAATGGAGGGTTCCACAAAATAAAATAGGTGGTGGTACACACAGAGTAATTGTTATGAAATTGTGTTTGCTACGAAAAACAATATAAAACAGTTAAAATCTATTTGTTTTATAAAACTCCCATTAGAGTCCAGTGTGGTGGCGCACACCTGTAATCCCAGGAGTTTGAGGCAGGAGGTTCGCTATGACTTTGAGCCCAGCCTGGGCTACATAGTGAGTTTAGGGCCAGCCTGAACTAGCAAGGGAGACCTTGCCTCAATAACAAGCAAACAAAAATAAAACACTTATTAAAATATTATAAAGTAGCCAGGTGTTTATTTTTAAGTGAAATTTGGGTAAAATACTGCTAAAACTAGGGGCTGAAACATGAGAGTTCTGTCAACCCCAGATTGAAGGATATGTTTATTTTACAGCGAGACACAAATTTTTGGACTAACCTAAGTAAATTTCATAAAGTTAAACACATCATAATATATCAAATTCATGCCAGAATAACATACAAATGCAAACACACAAGCATGAGTTTGGGGACTGCGGGGACCTCTAGGTGTTAGGACAGAGTCTGCCACACCTAGCTTTTTGAACATTTGTGAGGTAATAATGTATATTTTGACTTTTCTGCCCTCATGGAGGTGACGATAAAATAAAAATGGATACGTGCTCTCTGTTTCTTCAGGGATGCAGAGTATGTTACAAGAATTATCTTGCCTAGTCGTGCCTCCCCCACATGTATCCCAAGGAGCTGGTGCCTCCATCTCTACTGGAGAAACCACAACAATGAGAGAGGGTGCTGTGTCAACATCTCAGGAATCTTGAAACAGGAGAGAAAGGAATCGCATGGAGTAAGGAAAACAGAAGTTTTCAGTTCTCCTTGCTCCTTCTAGCTTCCGGTTCCAAGATTCAATTTAATCAGCAAATTTTACTGAGATTCCTCACCTTCTTTGGCATTAAGCCCAGCCTTCATCTCCTTTGGTTTCTTCCTTGCATGTTTGTATGTGTACATTATGTGCATATTTATTAATGTATGCACGTATTCATATGTGTCAGGGCACACATTTATGAAAATTAGCAAGTCTCTAAATATGTTCTTATATAGTTCTTAAATTTCTTCTTTTAAAATGGTACCAAAAGTGAAAGCTCTGGGTGAAGAGGTGGGATATAGCATTTTTCCCAAAGCTGACAATTTTTTTCAGTACAGTTTTGTGGATATGCCCTTAGTAAACATTTATCTGACATTGCTGTGTTTTTCAAATTCAGTCCTATTGCTTACCCACAGCATGAACTCTGAATATGTCCTCATTCCTCATCCCCAGGACTGAATCATGTATCCACACAACACAGCTCTGTCATCTCACAGCTAGGCTTCTGATCCCAGTGTCTCTCCAGGGACAGACTGCCGGGGCTCAAACTTGCTGGCTGGGAAACCAAGCAAATATATAACCTCTTATATCTGTTTCCTAAGGACTATTATAACAGGGTACCAAAATCAGGCAGCTTCATGCAAGACAAATGTATTGTATCACACTTCTGTAGTCCAGAAGTCCTAAATCAAAATATCTCAGACTTGAAACTCTAGACTCTCCTCTTATCCCGTTTGGTCTCCTGGTGGTCACCAACTATCCTTGGCTTACAGGCGTCATCTAATGTCTGCCTCTGTCCCTACATGTCCTTATCCCCTCATGTGTCTGTGCCTCTTTTCCTCTTCATGAGGGCCCCAGTCATATTGGATTAAAGGCCTGACCTACTCTGGTGTGGCCTCTTCTTAAAGAATTACATGCGCAATGACCCTTCCTTTCCATGTTGTTACCACCATCTATATTGAGAGCTTTTGGAGAGCAAGTTGCCCTAATACGTTTGTCTTCACATTCACAATTCTTCAGTTTAAAGGAAGACATAATTTTGCAGGTTAAAAGTGAATCTCAAGTACAAATTCTGAGTCATGTTTCTCCTTCTGTCAGCTAAAAAAATAAATAAATAAACCAAAATCTTGGATCAAGTAGCCTTTCTGGGATATAAAGACATAAAATTTTCCTGAAGGAAGTCTACGTTTCACAAGGCTAACAGGCAAATCTATTAACAAATTAATCCAATAACCACTGAAGCTTCATAGCAATTTAAACAATTATGGTGGTATCCAATAGGCTAGTAAATACATGTTCAGTTAAAAATGTGCATGTGTATTTGTATATTTATGTGTGTTGTTTGTGTATTTCTTTTTAACATTCCTAATTTCTTCCATATTTATAGTAGGCCTTGCAATCAGTTACTTTTTATTTTGGTACTGGGGATTGAACTCAGGTCCTTGTGCTTTCAAGGGAGGTGGCAGAACCACTGAGCTAAATCCCTGGCCCTGGTCAGTTACTTTTTTAAAAGCAACATTTTTCAGCTTCAGAGAAAAGGTCTTGATGCAAAATAATAGTTCCCAACTTCTGGTGCCCTTCTTTCAGGCACAGAACATGTCTGAGACACAAGAAAAAAAAATGCTAGAATTAATATTTATCCTAATATATTACAACTTTAAAATATTAGTTTTGCATATTTTATGTGTACAACATATTGAGATGAAATATATCTATGCAAATTTTAAATGAATATGCACATATATGAGTAAACTCAATTTTTCCAAAATGTGGTCAAAAGAATTTTGACTTTCGCATAGGTTTGCAAAACTGTAAGAAAGATTTTATTTGTTCGGGTAGGTATTCGAGACACACTGTTGATATTTTTGCAGTTTTTATACTTCATGGTAATATTTAATTCCAAAAACTTAAAAAGAAAAAAATTCATATGTTAAAAGCAATACTTCTATAAATAATGATTCTAAAGATGCTACTCAACAATGATGTTGTTTAGGAACTTCATTAATAGTAAAGGTATTAACCATATTAACCATATTAACCAGTTTATATTCACAAGAGACTGCATGGGGGGTGGGCACAGGGATATTCATCTTCACAACCTAAGAGTCTACAAAGCCCTGGAGAGAGTGTATTTGGTGAATATGAGAATGAGGAAGACAACATTTTTGGAATAATATGCTGATCCAGTATGAAAGTTGCACAGAATTGGTATGAACTATGTGGGTCTCCAGGCCCTGGCCCCTGCCTCACCTCAGTGGAGGTGAGGTTGAGACACAGAGAGAATTGGGCTCAACGTGCATGAGCCTTGGGAAAATTTGCAAATTTTCACTGGAGCAGCTTGGAACAGTTCAGACAGGATAGAACTGGACGTGACGATCACACGTGTCTGACACAGGTGACCAAGGGTTCGCAGACCCAGAAAAATGCCAAAGCAGAACTAATTTGTTAAAAGGAAGATGATTCCTCAGGGCTCATGATCAGAATGGGTGGTTGGACCTACAGCGACCACCAGGCAAATGGGAAGTACAGGTGGGATGGTAGAGAGAAGGCAGCAATTGGAGAAGCCAAAGATAAACAGGAGCCCAGAGGTTCCAGCGAACGCTGCGAGGAGTGAGCAGTTTACTCCCAAGACCCTGTGTCTCCACTGCCTCGGGCCTTAACTCCAGGGGAAGCCCCAGATCGATGGAGAACACCTTACATGGGATTAATGGGTTCTCCAAGGAACCAAACCTGCTGGTACCTTGTCTCGGATTTCCAGTCCCAAGAACTGTGTAAAAAAAGGAATTTCCTTAGTTTAAACCTTACAGCTTCCCTCACTGACCAATACAGAGACCTCAAGGTTCAGTTTAAAGGAGCTTCGGGAAAAGGGGTATGGCATTCTGCATTTCTGAGTTTA